CACTAATTCAAATCCAAATCCTATCTCACGTCAGGTAAGATGGTTTGTCAAGAAAGTGACCTCCATTTTGTGGGTGGAATTATGAGCTAAAGTCTGATGATAAGATTAGGTTTCGACTTTTGATCCTTTCATGTCTTAAATCCATTTTACTAATTTACTAATTATCATATTGTATTTTTAAGTAATAGTTTTTATAATATTATAGTATATAAAAGATAATTTAAAACTTTTTCATAAAATAGTTTTCCTTAATAACAATTATATATTAAAAAAATTTCCAAAATAATATTTATATATTATAAAAAAAAACACACACACAATTTAAAAATAGGTGTGATGATGACTATAATGGACAAGGGAGTATCATTTGTGTTCTCTAAAGTGTCAAAACAATTATGGTTTCATATAACAAAAGATAATTAGTTGGAAAGTTTGTTGTTAATAATTCTCATAATCTAATGTAATCATAATTTTTATTAACCCATTTATTAGGATTTGTTATCAGCTAATCATGAATTAAATATTTTAGCTTTAAGAGGGGTGGCCATTTTATGTCTCGAATCTTCCTTTTAATTATGAAGGAAGAATTTGCAACTCCAAAGTTTTACTTTGATGGAAAGAAAATTGGCAAAAACTTATTCTTAGCCCCTCACCTTATCAAGTTTGAAGATTTTAGTTCATCACCTTATACTATAACACTTTAACCCCTCATCTCACTAGATTTGTAGATTTTAACTTCTCACCTATTAAAATCGAACAAAATAACTTGCACTTTATGTTGACTGTTAACTCTGTTAGTTAACAGTTGAAAGTAAATTTGTGTCAACTAACAGTCAACTAATAGTCAGTGAACAAAATAAACGAAATATTATAAAATTAGTTTTGTTAACTCTATTAGTTAAAAAAATATTTTTGTCAGTTAACAGTTAACTAATAGAACTAATAAAATATTACAAAATGAGAGCTATTTTCTTTAATTTTAATAGGTGAGAGGTTAAAAATGTTATAGTATAATGTGATAGGTTAAAACCTACAAATCTAATAAGGTGAGGGGATAAAAGTATCATAAGGTGATATTCTAAACCTTTAAATTTGGTAAAATGATAGGCTAAAAGTAGGCTTTTGCCCAAGAAAATTGCAGGGGATGCTGTCATTCACCTGCATTTGTTACATTGTCTCATCACACAACACAAGCAAACTGGTCTTCATTCTCAAGCAATAAAACGGCAGTCTGCAGCAATGGAAAGAGACTCTGCAGCTTCATTTAACCAATCTTGCCTAGGAGATTAAGGTAGTTTGTACTCTAAATTTGATCATTTGTTAGTGGCTCTTTCTGCCATCATAATCCCATGTCCTTTTGGAGGACCATATGAGATATCAGACATGTAACCCTTCTCTGCACATTCAATTAAAGAGTTTTCAATGACAACATCAGACCCCCTTCTGAATAACACCTAAAACCAAATAACTCGTCTCATTGATGCCACAGATACACGCAATATGCTACAAATGTTACGTTACATGCCTTGGATGTCACTTCAACTTAATCTTTCTGCCAGAAATACAACAAAATAATAATAATAATAAATTCAAGAGGTAGACAGAATGGCTTTTGGAACTAGGGCAGATTATTAGATACATAAAAGATCCACTTAAGAATGATCGACTTTCGGCACTGCCGTCCTGTATTATGACACATTAACATGATCTATTGAACGTTTGGGACCTACTTTCTCAAACATAATTGTACGGACAACATTCCTCACAAATACATTAAAGCAGTCTTGACATGAGTTTGGCATAAGAGTGGATTGATTTATCCTCTTAATTTCCTCGGTATGATTACATTCACAACTGGGAAAGGTGCGGGCACGGGACTTTGAATGCTCCAAACCACAGGCTGCCAAGATGGAATGTGTAGCAAGCCTAGCAACTTCCTTGAATGTATCGACTCCTGCAGAAGCAAACCCACATTTATTTCAGTCAAAAGAAGTCATTTGATTACAATAAGTCAAGATAAGATCTCAACAAAATAAATTTCATAGGGGACATCCATAGTCTACAATGAAATTCTCCCCTAATTTCCTTTTTATCATTAAGTTTGCCAGAAAATGCTCAAAATAATAAATGTATACCTACACCCCACCCCCCTCCATTTTCCTACAGCCCCATAGTTCTTATTACTGTCCTTGTCCAGATCTAAATTCTAAATTGTTGCACAAAATGGCCAGATCAATACCTACCGACTACAAGTACACACAACCTAATATGCTAAATAATTCCACTCATTATCCAAGTAAACTCCCATCAGCGACCATTCATTGCTTTTGCACGGTCAAATTATTAGCAGTGAATGGAATCTGAAAAGGTATTGAGCATAACCTACGAACAGTTAAAAGAGATAATTTAGATGAAATATGCTGACATACCTAATTTTTTGTCTTGGCTCATGAGCTTTAAGTTCAGTTTGACAAGAGATTGGATCTCACTTTTGGCATTGTCAGCTCTTCCATCCTGGTTTTTGGCGTAGGTATTACTCACCCTGACTTTCCTTTCAGGTATACCCAACTTAGAAGAGGCAGATGATGTGAAGTCCACTTTGGCATCCAATAAATCAGTAGATCTGACTGGAACTGAGCCTACCACACTTGTTGAACAGGAAGGCACAACTTGCTCTTTAGTGATACTTGATGATGTCTCATGTGCATTTTTCACAAACGGTCTAGCACTTGCATTAGAGATATCACCTTGACACCGCACCCTCTTAGGCAATGCAGATTCACACAATCCTAATGAATTAGTAGGAAGTCTCTTATTAGGTCCTTTATCCATGTCGATACTCTGCTGTTGCAGTTCCAACTTTGGAGACTTCTGCTTTTGTACCTGCCTCTCAAATAAATTGTGCTCATGATGCTTTACTTCTTGTCTGCTTACCAGATTCTTAGTTTCAAATTGCTTACCTTTCAACAAGTTAACTCCCGAACTTGTGCCAATTACTTCTTTTGAAGATTTTCCCATGCTAAGGGGAACTTTTGGGACCCCATTAGAGCTTCTGGCTTTCTCACTATTTTTCTGCATGGACTGTGCAATATCCAACATTTCCCAAGCCCTGTTAACATCATACAAGTCTCTCTGGGGCATAGTATTGCTAGGGAAACTATCTTGAGCAGTTGATTGCAAACTTGTTGAAGATGAGGATTCCGATTCACGTGATTTAACGTGAAACATGGGACTGACTTTACCTTTTTGACTTCTCCTGCTACTAGATTCAGCCAAACTAGAAGAGAAGCTTGCAGATCCACTTTGCAATGCATGCCAATTTTCACGTAAAGATTGTATACGACCATGCACATTGCGGCAAATGCGCAATGTTCTTGCACCTGATTCAGTTACTTTACCTACGATACTTTGAGTGGATCTTTCACTTGGGCAAGTAACTTCAACTGAAACATTGATTTCCCTTCCAGAATCAACAGTACATGAACAACAGTTAGAAGGTGGAGAGAAACTTGAGTTATTACTTTCAATTGCTCGAATATTTGATTCTCGAACAACATCGAAAATAGAAACATCTTTCTCCGGATATAATTTCACATAAGAGTTTCCAGTGATATTATGATTGTCAATACCAGTATCTAGTTCATTTTTATCATGCTCAGCCCTAGAAATAGCACAATCATGACAAAACCAATCACCTTCAGGTACAGTTGCACCCAAGCCAATACAGTAAGTATGAGAAGCTGTATCACAGAGATCACAAAGTAGTAGAAGATGTTCATTGGCTGCATTTTGACACACACTACATTGAACTCGTGCATAAGGATCAAAAGTTCCACCTGTCACATTTCCATAGGGATGGTGAGCCTGCAAAATAGTGTCAGCATATGTCAACATTCCTATCATATACAAATGAAGAAAGTGTGTAAAAATCAATATCATACTTAAATGATATAGCATACATAATATATATTTATATGATATTACAGAGTAAAAGCATCAGCCTAATATCTCGAGATACATTAGCCTCCACAGACAACAATGTTGCAAATTTATAACATCTTGCCATAAAACTTATGATATAGACATGTATAGGTAGAAGTAAAACATATACATTTGCATTTCTCTTTTTGACAATAATTCTGTATGTGCTTTAAGTAAACAGAGGCGGAAAAAAATGCAGAATGACCCACAATATCTCTAGCAGGATTAGAACTTAGAAGTTATAGCATACATGATGAGTTGCTGACCATGGAAATGGAAATTTTGTTTACAGTAATGCAGCTAAATACAAACTATTAAAGAAGAACAGAATTACAACACCAACACCAAGAAACAAGAAGATATAGAATATGTGAGAGACATACTGAAATCAATATCCCAGACTTATCTATCCTCTCACTACAGGCAAAACTTTAATGTAAAATCTGAATTATAGCAACTAAACGAGATGATCAAGAAACAATTCTAGTGCTTAAGCTAAACTCCAAAGCGCAGAATAAAAATGCACAAATTAAGCAATTCGAATGCCAGGAAAGTAATGGATGAAGACCCTAACCTGGTCACGGTGAGGGACGTTGACGACGCGTTCAGAAGTAAAGACACCGACCTTTGGAGGGCGGAGGATGGTGGAGAACCGGCGCTTGCACATAGGGCACCGGGACTCCACCTTGGACCACTCCATGATGCAAACGAAGCAGAAGAAGTGATCGCAGCTATCAATTATGCCTCTGATCAATCTTGCGCCTTCCGATAAGCAAATTCCGCAGCTATCAGAATCTGACTCTTCCATGGATGGTTGCTCCTCTTTCGATTCTTGACGCCGGAGATCTGGTTGGACTTGGATGATGGATTCCGATCCCATGGCTAGGGTTTTCAGACGTTTGTCCATCGAAGGGGATGGCGAGTCGGGTGGCGAGTCACTCGCCATTGAGTTCTGAGTCGGATCCCGAGTGACTCGTGAAGGGACGACCAAATAAGGGAATCATCCTGCAAAATTTACAGATAGAAGTTGGGCCTTTTAAAGATCTTTTGGGCTGGGCTTGAACGTCAAGGGAATTTTTCAAGTCCGGGCTCAAGTCAGGGTGGCACCAACATATACCCCCATAAAAAACGCTAAGTAACAAAATAATCTTAGAATTCAATATTTAACTGTTTAAACTTTATTAAACTATAAAATATTAATTATTAGATAAGAAGTCTACATCAATTATCAAAGAACACACTTAACCCTTGTGGCCTAATGGCTAATGCCATTGAAAAAATGCATATCCCCCTCCCCTGAGCGGGTTTCAAATCTGTCCCATGACAAAAAAGTTCAAAAAAAATAATTATCAAAGAGCTATTCATTATCTAATAGTCAATGTTTTATAATTAGAGCAAAACATTAATGAACTTTTTACTTAAGACTTTTTTTTTTTTTAACATGCAGAGATTAAGAATTAAATTTTAAATTTGTGATTATGAGTTTAGCTAATTTTACTATCAAATTATATGACTAATGGTTAAAACTATTTTGTTAATTGAATGAGACATTAATGAATTACTTACTTAAGACTATTTTTTTAATTTAAAAATATTAATAATTAAATCTTAAATATGTGATTATGAGCACATCTATTTTCTAGTGCCAAATTACATGACTAATGGTTAAAATTATTTTGTTAATTGAATGAGACCGCGAATAAACTTTATATTTATTATAACTAATGCATGGTTAAGGAACTTCAATTAAATGGACAATACAAATGT